GGAAGATGGGGTTGCTGTTGTTGTAGTTAGGATTACTGGATTTTGTTTAGCAATTTCAGTGATGTGCCTGAGGAGAATGAAGGGCAAAGGAGAGAGATGGTAGGTGATAAAGAATGACATTTTCTAAAGATCAGAATATTGTTGTCTTTTGTTTTCTCATAAACTGTGTATGATAAAAAACACAGTCCAAATGCATTCCTGGTGCAACTTTACTGAAGGTCTTATACCAAGAATTTGATCCCATGGTCCTTTCCATACTATCGTAAAAATTATATCATCTTTGTAAGACAACATCTTCAGCATGTAACATTTTAGAACAATAAATAATAGCCTAAACCACTTCTTCCTCATACCTGTTCTCAGCATAAAGTGTTGTAGTGGAGGGCTGATTTTTCACAGTATCCGTGCGATGAAACAATCACACAAGTCCTGGAACTTAGTGTGGTTTGTTAAGACCTATTAATGGTGTTATTACATGTGTTGTTGTTGTTACATGTGTAGGTTAAGACCTATTACATGTGTGGCACCTGACATAAATGCCATGGTCGTGGCTTCCTACTGCTTTTCTGCATCAGTTATTCCCTGTATTTTAGCGCCTGCAGCCCAGAAATAGCAGTCCACTGTTTCTAAACACACTTCATGAGAGTTGCTACCCCTTTGAAATGAAAATGGATGATCGCTGAGTAACAAGTGATTTGTTTTATTTCATCTAACCCCATAACTAAGAGGATAAGCGCAGTAGAAAGGTTAGAATGCAAATCCTACTTATGAAGAGCTGTGGGTTGTAAACGGAAATGTACTAGATGTTTTCCAACAAATGTCAGAAGTATCCATCAATACCACTCCCAGCAGAGCATGTAATTAGGGCAACAAGTAGCTGGGTAGTAGGTCAGAAATCCGTAGGTAAGCAGTGATCTCAGTTGGAGCCACTGGGATTTGAATTGTAATGAAGAACTATTATTCCTGTTTGCAAAAGCAAACAGTAAAACAAGGGTATGTTTTAAACCGATATACCCTTGTTCTTCCCCCGCTCACTTTGCAAGATTACCACATTATAGTGCAGATGGGTGCTATAATGACAATGAATATTAATCCTCCTCCTGTTTTGGAGGGTTCTTAGAGCTCCTTCTTTCCATTTTTTCCAACCAGGTACAATCAACCTTTTTTCCTAATTTTTAAGTGCTAAACAACAATATTTGTTTAGACCCTAAAGGAAAAGGCTTAGCAATTTGGAAAGCATAAAATAGGCAAACCTGAACTGGGTGCTGACCCTTGATATTCGCAACATCCTTGTCAAGGTCAAGTGTCTGCTTCAGCCTACATGGCCTGTTGGGCTAGCATAATTAAAACATACCGATTTCTATTGCTGATGGCACAGTCAGGAAAGCTGCAGGTAACATAACGTCTGGCCATCTCTAACTCCCCAGCCTGAATAACCAGGTACCAATTTATGAGCGAGCCAACTGGGAGTAACCTTTGGAATTCACACTACTGGAAACTGCCATGTCTTATTCCTAAAATTCTGTTTTTCCCAATCTGCACTATCCCATCCTTGGTAATGTGTCCAGGCCCCTCATCCCTCACACAGCTGGAGAGGAGTTCTTTCAGAGCCTTACATTGGTACTTCTGTTTAAATTCACTGAAGTGTTCCTACAAAGGAAATGCAAGAAATCATCTTTCCATTAGGCCTGAAGAAGCAGCTTTAGTACCACAGGCCTCTCTCAGCTCTGGTTTGCCCAGGAAATGAAATTGAAGTTGGAAACTCACCTGGCTCTATTATGGGAAATTAAAATATGCTACTGCAAGATAAAGCTGACGTAATTAAAAAGTCAGGGAATGGAAAAGCTTGGGTTCTTAGAGGAATATTACCTTGCTTATATTCAACATATGCAATATTTTGAATATGAGTTAGGCTGTTAAATGCATATACAATTTTTAAGTGAATGTTGGGGTGAGCAAACACAACTCCATTAAATCAAGTCAGGTTCCTCAGTGTGGGTCAATTGATGTTAATATGAATACCTCAAAGTAGTGTTCTAATTTGAAAAATGAGCCTGTAAAAATGGCACTTGAATTTCTCTCAGCAATTACCAAATGTGCTCAAGTGAAAAGATGTTTTTCTATTTGCCACTCCAGCAAATAGGGTTTGGGACTTGACGATAAACCTGGGTTCTTTCCATTTGCAGCATCGTAATCAGTAACACAGATTCTTGCAGGCCAGACTAAGCCCTCACTTTCATGCAACACGGTTCTACTCAAATGATACTCCTACTTGTTCCAGTACAACCCTGTTGCCTTGCAAACAAATCTGTTTATAACATATACACTGAAATAAAGTCCAGCTCACTCAGCATTAATTAGTTCATTATCTTTGTAATGCTAACAGGAAGAAAAACAATAAAATTATGTTTGTCATTCAGGTGAGTTTATCTGACTCTGAATGTGGAAAGGATTGGAACTCTTTCATAAACTGCCATTTTTTATACAGCCACATCTCAGAATAAAAAAGTCCTTCTGAAAATTTGTATTAAAATGCAGCTATAACTTTGCATTGATGTACTTTGCATTAAAGCACAATTTTACTTTGTCAAGCAGCTATATAAAGACATCATCTTTCCTAACCAGTTTACTCCCTGTGTTTGTTTAGTTGTGGCTGCTGACCTTTTTGATGGCTAAAATTTTATTTTACTACTTTTGACACCTGCTCAGCCTTCCAAGCAAGTGTAGCTAAGGTTTAATAAACTGGATAATGTTGTGTAATGTATATGGAATTGTTAACTAAGTGCTGATTGCAGAACCTTTATTACTTATATTGCATGGGCCAGAAAGAGCCCAACTTGACTTGGACAGCACAATGTCCAAGGAATCTGTTCGAACAGCTTAAAAGTTCTGTGGAAGGTGATAAACTCTGCATACATCTTTAGAAAGCTGCCAGCTCCATTTTAACTATGCTGTTATCTTTTCAGCTCCAGCATGGGCTAAAATCCAAGGACTTTTGGCACTCTTACGGTAGAGGGCTCTTATTCAAATACAAACATCCTAGACATTATGTTTCTCTTTAAGATGGTGATTCTCAACCAGGGATCCTTTCAAGGGTACTGTGAGGCACCACACAATGTTAGCACTGTTATGTGTGCAAACATGATTCACAAGATAAACCCAGAGATTTCATATAGGATCTGTAGTGATCCAGACATTCTGCCCTGTTGTTCTTTCTGAGTTCTTTGAAACAGAAAAAAATCTGTATTATTTTTCCATAGTCAAAGGAAGAGTAAAATCTAAGAGCTGGCATGTTCCAGTAAGTGCCTATAATCTAAAAAGGTTGAGAATTGCTGCTCTAAGAAAACTGGTTTTGTCATTTGCCAAAGCTTCCTGCCCCCCTAAGGCATCCATCAAGTGATTCCCTGAATAGGTTGCTCACATCAGAAGGACTGGAAAGTTATAAAAGAGCAGGGAATTCACCTGTTCACTTTTGTCAGCCATCCTGCGCTAGCTCAAGATAAGTGGAGCTATTGCAGGATCCTGAAGATACAGAGAGAAAACTTGCCTTCCTAAAAGTGAATGGGCCTCTCCAGGTGAAGGGAAGGGTTAGCTGAACCGAGAGGCAGTGCATTCAGGAAGGTCATTGTTTTTTTAATGATAAATGTTCACTTGTACTTTGTCCTCTAAGTAAAAGCAATGGTGTGTTCAGAAACTGTAAAAACTATTTGAATCTGTATATGCCATTTACTCTCATTTACCATGTGACTTCTGATTGGTTAAAACATAAAACCTTTGCTGAGATTCTGGGGAAGAGAAAGTCAGTAGTGGAACCTGGGTACATGCCATTTGGTTGCATATTCCCAGATGAGGGTCCTAGACAGGTCTGAATCTCAGGAGTGTGCCTAGGGAGCCAGGACTGAAGGGCAGTGCCTGTTCAGACTCCAGATGCCTGAAACATCCAGGGGTCCCTTAACTAAGTCCCTGACGATAATGTGGTAAGAGGCCAACAGGAGTGATTCAACTGTATGCTACTGTACAGCTCCCATGTTGAATCTGCCATGCTGCCAGTTAGAAAAAGCTATATTTTGCACATTGAGGAAATTTGAAGTGAAAACTAGAGACAGACTTTTAGATTCTTGTTTGAGAGCACAACCACATAGTAATCAATATTAACTTGAGCTATTAGCTGAATAGGTGATAGTTTTGTACCCAAAGCAAATCTGGTGATTAGTATTGGAAACCTTCAATATAAATCTTAAAAAGATAACAGGATGGTATTTATTTTGTTTGCTTGTCCATTATGACTTCAAAGTACAGTCTTTAGCAATTTTTCAGAATCATACGGGTTAAAGTACAGACCATAACCATCCTTGCCTCCCACTGATTTGCACTGCAATCTATTTACATTTTTTAAAGTCACTGCATCACCAAAGGACATGCTAGCCGTAGTAAGAAACCAGATACACAGCCAGCCTACAAGATCCCGCCCTAGTACCCATTCATGGTAAATGGGGACATCTAGAGGAGATTGTTGATGGAAAGCAGAAATCAAATTTAAATCTAGTGTATTTTAAGGCTTTATAACACACCTCTAGAGGATTGCTAAAAATCTCTCATAGATTTAAAAACTGCATCTCTGGGTGCAACCTGAGGGGATTAGTGGGTTCTGTAGTTTTACCTAGGCCTCAACCAGAAGGATGGTATGGAAAGTGAAAGGCAGACAAGGGGGCTCTGTAAGGCACATGGATTAGGTAACACTCATTTTCCCTGGGCAAAAATGTGGTATCTTCTTTTTTTGCAAGAAACAAAAAATATGTGACTAGATTTATGATCTCTCTGCAAAATATCAGCTCAATGCAATTTAGACGAGACAACTCGCAAAACCTCAAAAGACATGCAGCCTTTTCACGAGGCTTATTTTCACCGGTTCTGCAAATATAAACCCTAGTCAAATGTAAATTGTTCTGTATAGGAGTTTATGGTATGCACAAATTACTATGTTCTTTGTGTCATTTTAGGTTGGCCATTTAACAACACCATGTGTAAAATGAGCGGACTGGTGCAAGGGATGTCTGTTTCAGCTTCAGTTTTCACGCTGGTGGCTATTGCTGTGGAAAGGTAGGCTGGCATCAGTAATCTCTTTCTAGCTCTTTTCCTGCAACAAATAGACTATGGTCATAAATCATTTCAGTTGATTTTCAGTGGTGCCCATTGGGTGGACCTATACTGCAACCACATGGTAACTCTTCATTTCAGTATTCCAAAGGAGTCAGCAACCTTTGTGGAGTGGTGGGCGGAAATGCACAGTTTTGGCTGAGGCAGGCCAGCACTTCCAACCTGACTACCACAATTGCTGCTTCTCTCCTGTCAAATTACTGCCAATACTTGTGCGCAACAGTTTCCCTCAAATGCCACAGAATTACCACTGAATTCTCCTGCCTCTGACTTGCAGCAGATATGAAGCCTTCATGAACCAGATGAAATCACTAGGCAGGCCAAATCCTGCCCTCAGGCCAAAGGTTGCCAACCTCTGCTCTAGAACATAAGGGCTAAGTGCTGTTTGTACTCCATCAATCCCTAAACTTACCTGATGCAGTCCAACAGATAAAATACAAAATGTGTATGATGGAGAAAGAGAACTGCAGAGATAATAAAAGAAAAGAGATTTAGGCTTCTGAATCCTAGACATACATATGCAATAGTGTCCTATCAACCCTCCTAATGAAGAGACTTGTCTCAATAGAACGTGAGAAAATCCAGCTGCTCATCACCAGGATTTTTGTTTTTTCCTCCAAAGCCTTCAGTAAATTGATATCCTCATAGGTCTCTTGTTGGTATGATGTTCCTCTGTGGTGTCACCACATTTTCTAAAAACGTTTTATAAATAAAAAAGTTAAAGAATTTCCCAGTTCTCCTTTTCCAAGTCAGCACATGCATGAAAAAGCAGAGATAGTTATGCTATGACTGTCTTTGCATTACCCCATAACTGCAGCATCCTTCTGCCCAAACCAGTGTGAGTAAAAAAGTCTGAATCATCAGTGCTTGCTACTCATTTTCCATCATTGAGGATGACCATGAAATAGGCAAGGCAATGGAGCATCAGGCCCAAAGAGATTTTAGTGTTTCAAAGTCACCCATATAATGGAAAATACACTGTTGAGTGTAGGCAGTGGCCCAGGGGGTCTTGGCAGTTCACTTATTATTCCATATGTGGATTCATAACACATCAATGGCCATTTAAAATGTCACTGTACAGTGCTTTCTCTCTGGAAATAAATGAAATGTGAATGTTTCTTACTTTAAAAAGTCATTTCCTTTAGTTTGACATGAGTTGCCCTATGGCAGTTTTGCTGTCATGAGATTCCATTAGTAGTTTGCACTTGTAAATGTTACAGAGACAGATAAATCCCTAGCAACTCATGGTTTTATTGAATAATTAATGTATTAACTAATTTTGCCACAATGTCTTTACCTTTTTCTTGAGTTTGTAGTCTTCTTTACAGTCTCACCTGAATATATGGCCCGTGTAGTGCAGGGGAGCCCATGATTTGGCCCTCAAAGTAATTTCATCTGGCCCCTGGTACTGCCTGTGGGTCTTAGAGTGACCCACAGGCAGCATGTGGGGTGCACTGGGTGGGGTGCAGCACAGCCCCAGACTGCCCATGTGCCATTCTGCATACTGTGCTGTGTGCAGTGGCCACTCCAGGGTTCTAGGGCCATGGAGCACAACGCCACAGTAGCAGCTTTAGGACCAAGGAGAACAGCCCCATGGCAGCCAGAGCAGGATTGCACTACATGCAGTGCCCACTCCAGATCTGGAACACAAAGCCAGTCTGTGGTTCCAATCTAGCCCATGGACTAACCCCACAGCACCCATCTGGCCCATGGGGCTAAATGAGTTTGATGCTCCTAGTTTAGTGCATTTAGATGCAGTGTGACATCAGCTTTGATTACAGGACCCAATCACTACAGCATCCCTCTGCTGAAGTTCTGACTCAGTGGTGCTCAGTCTTTTGGTACCATGGGCTGGGTTGGGCCCCACATGCCAGTGTCGATCCCCGTGTTGGCCTGTGCAGCCAATATAGGATACAGAGCAATGATGTCCAGCCTATAGGGCTCCCTACAGGCCCAGAAATTTGGAAACAGCTCAGTGGCAATTAACACTGCCACCACTCTCACTGTCAAATTTTTGGACCTGGGGGAGCCTTGCAGGCTAGATTACATGGTTCTGTGGGCCAGATCTGGCTACAAGCCAGAAGTTGAGTATCTCTGTTTTAATCATTATGTTGTATGTAATGATTTAGTTCCAGAATACAGGCTAATGCCAGATGAAGAGAAGAATGAGTGCTGCAATAATTTTCATTTTGCACAACTATTTTTTTTTAATAATTTTTGCTCCAGGATGAATGGACTTGTAACAGAGTGCCATCTCCAGGGGTGGCCATGAAGCCCCTGGAGGCTGAGCAAATTCCTTACACCCTGTTCTCGGGGCAGTTCACCCTCCTTTTTTCTGCCATACCTTGATGTAAATGGTTATTAAAGCATGGGAGGCTGTCCTGATCTTACACTAATGTTGGGGATCCAAGCCTTAAGTGCTAATTGTGTGGCTCCATTTCTCCCCTATACCACACCCCATGCCTCGCAGGTGTTATAAGTCACCAACTGGGTGGGACACTTGTCCCTACATCTCCAGGCCACTTCAAGCCTTCCTTCCTTTGTTGGGGTTTTAGCCTTCCCCGCTTCCACCCCTCTACTCTGGGTCATCCTGCCCTAGGCCCACTGTTTTAGGCCTTGCCTCTGGGCCCCAGCCCTGCTCTTACCCCTTTTAGGCTTCAGGCCCCCAGCCCCTGTCTCTGCCCTGCTTGGGCTTACTACAGCTGACCTGACTACAGGGCTGTCCTTTAACCCCTGCTCTGCTGGCTGGCTGTGCTATAAAGACTCTGCCCTGAAAGGAGCCAAACCACTCTCCAGTAACAGGGTCATGATTCCCTGTTACAGGACCCCTGTTTAAAAGCACAGGGTGTTTATGCACATGCTTTGGGAGGTGGGGGGGACAGGATGGGGGTGGCTTCAAGTGGCTTTAATTAGAATGACTCCGAGAGCTGCTATAATTAAAGTGCACGTGTATCAGCATCCCCAAGCTGAAAAATGGTGGTAAGGGCATGGGGATGCTGATGCACATGATGCTGGATCTGCTCGACTCTATACACATGATGCTGGATCTGCAGACTCGATTAATTGAGTCTGCTCCAATGTGCTGTAATTACAGCACATCAGAGCAGCCTTGATGCACATGTATTGGTGCCCACAGTAATTAAAATGGTAGGACTCAAAACTGGGTCTTCTGCATGACAAAATGTATATAACGACAGTTTCTTTTTAAAAAGGCCTTTGTAAATGTAAGCTCACTGCATCTTGGAACATGCAGTTAGAGCCTCAGGAGAACGTGAAAACAATGCTTGTTTCTTTTTCTTCCTCTTTTAGGTTCCGATGTATCGTTTACCCCTTTAGACAGAAACTCACCCTGAGGAAAGCCCTGATCACCATTGTAATCATTTGGGTCTTGGCTTTAATAATCATGTGTCCCTCAGCAGTCACCTTGACTGTCACCAAAGAGGAATATCACTTCATGGTGGATGCTTACAACAACTCCTACCCACTCTACTCCTGCTGGGAGGCATGGCCTGACAAGGGGATGCGAAAGATCTATACAACTGTACTCTTTTCTCACATTTACCTGGCTCCACTCACCTTAATTGTCATCATGTATGCCCGGATTGCTTTCAAACTTTTTAAGTCCTCTGCACCCATCCGGGGCTCCCAGTCAGAGGAAAATGAGGGGAGAAGAGTCTCCAAGAGGAAAGTCAAGATAATCAACATGTTAATCATAGTGGCATTGTTTTTTACCCTCTCCTGGTTGCCTCTGTGGACTTTAATGCTGCTGACAGATTATGGAAACCTAACAGAGTACCAGCTCAACCTGATTACAGTTTATATTTTCCCATTTGCCCATTGGCTGGCATTCTTCAACAGCAGCATCAACCCAATCATCTATGGGTATTTCAACGAGAACTTCCGAAGAGGGTTCCAGGAGGCTTTCAAGGTCCAACTCTGCTCCATGGAAAGAGAACATAAGGGCACCTATTCTGAGAGGAACAATAATGGATTCCTTTTTGGCATACGCAATCGAATCTTTGTTGAAGTGCAAGGCAGTGATTCAGTGCAACCATCTGAGTCTGGACAAAGTAACCCCCCCAAAACTGGGTTATTTCCATTGAAGAATGGGCGGGTTGCTCACCATGGGCTGTTGGTTGAGGATTTGGACAGTAAAGGTTCTTCTCACAACTGTGTCAGCATCCCAGCTTGGGATATCTAATACTGCATACACGATACCAGTGTTTGATAGATCTTGCCCAGTAATGACATAGGTCTGTGAACTATGATGTTTGCAATCAAATATTTCATTTTGAGAGGATGTTGCCACCAAGGGAATCTTTTGTAGTGATGGGCATCTAGACAAAAAACTACAGGCAGTCCTCAGACTTATGACACAATTGGTTTCTGAAAACCCGTGTCTTAAGTCGAAACATTGCAACTTGGAACCAATTTTCTCATAAGAAACAATGTTATAAATGGGGGATTGGTTCCTGAACCAAGGCCTGATACCCTATTTTCACAAAAAATACCCTGGAATTTTGTACTCGATCAATTATAGATGAGTAATATAGCTACATGAATGTATTTATATTGTAAATAGCAATCATATTGATTTGGAAGGACTTTTTTTAAGTGACTTTGTTGGACTTCCCGGAGGGCAGGGAACAACTACAAGCAGACCTGGGCAGGTTGGACAAATGGTCAGAAAACAACAGAATGCAATTCAACAAGGAGAAATGCAAAGTGCTGCACCTAGGGAGGAAAAATGTCCAGCGTACCTACTGCCTAGGAAATTACCTGCTTGGTGGGACAGAAGCGGAAAGGGATCTTGGAGTCCTTGTGGACTCCAAGATGAACATGAGTCGTCAGTGTGATGAAGTCATCAGGAAAGCTAATGGCACTTTATCGTGCATCAGCAGATGCATGATGAACAGATCCAAGGAGGTGATACTTCCCCTCTATCGGGCGCTGGTCAGACCGCAGTTGGAATACTGCGTTCAGTTTTGGGCACCACACTTCAGGAGAGATGTGGATAACCTGGAAAGGGTCCAGAGAAGGGCCACTCATATGGTTAAAGGCTTGCAGGCCAAGCCCTATGAGGAGAGACTAGGGCACCTGGACCTGTTCAGCCTCCGCAAGAGAAGGTTGAGAGGCGACCTTGTGGCTGCCTATAAGTTCATCACGGGGGCACAGAAGGGAATTGGTGAGGTTTTATTTACCAAGGCGCCCCCAGGGGTTACAAGAAATAATGGCCACAAGCTAGCAGAGAGCAGATTTACTGCCTATGCAGGGGGTCGGACTCGATGATCTATTGAGGTCCCTTCCGACCCTAGCATCTATGAATCTATGAATCTATGACTTTTTGAAAGGCTCCTGGTTGGACTTTTTGAAGGGTTCTTGGCTGGAGTCTTCTCAGGAGTCTTGGCTGCAGGTTTTTCTGGAGTCTTGTCTGCTTTCTTAAAGAAAGTGTCCAAGGAAGTTTGGACAGATGTTCTCCAGGGAGATGAGTGATGCAGCAAACTTGTTTGCTGCCATGGTGTTGGATCAGATCAAGCATTGCAAAGTCAAAACAAATGTCAGAAAGTTGAAGCAGGGTGTCAATTTATAAACGTTGTAAGTGCAAAACATTGTAAGTCGAAACGTAGCAAGTCGAGGACTGCCTATATTAAATTGCAGGGATAAGATCACAACAGGTTTTGATGGTAATACATTATTATAGTTACAAAACAAACCAGAGCAATTTATGTTCAGATTTCCCAGTGTATTACTTTCTTATAACTTCATGGAATTTAAGAGTGGCCTGAGAAATGCATTTGGGATCTTGGCCCATGATCAGAAGGGACATGCATGTAGTGGTAGCTCATACTACAGACAGAGATGTGGAGGTGGAAGTACAGTATCAGGGTACTAATTATTCCAGTCTGCTACCTTATGTGGTGGATTCAGATTTGTTAGGCTACTCCACTTGGAAGAAAGAACAAAGACTCAGTAGTGGGAGAAAGAAAAAAAAATTATCCAGGGAGCAGGGGAATGACTGGGAAGAATAATCAGTGTATAACAGATAATTGCAGAATAACTCATATACCCCACCCAGTTCCTAGAACCTTAATTCTTCAGCTCTAGGAAACTGATCTTTGCCCTTCGAGCTCCAAGACTCTTCTTCAGCTGCTGGTCATAATCAGTACTTTTGCTTGCTACCCTCCTTTCCAACCATCAAGACAAATCTTGTTACAGAGTCAACTGATGTTCAGTAGAGTTAAACCTCAACAGCACCCAATGTGCATTGACTTTGTATTGCATGTACACACACACACATGTTGGTTAGTTTATAAGGCGCAAATCTACCCTATTTTTTTTTTGTATTTCAGATAAGAGAAAATGTTAATAGACTTATCTCACATGTCTAATCTGGAGAACTACGTCATGATGTTGTATGATGTTATGAGATTACACTACCTCATACTGACAGAATGCAGAAAGAGGGAAGGAATAGGAACAAGATGATAAAAGTATTTGAAAATTCATGTCCCCAAGCAGGACATAGCCCACCAAGTGACCTGTGCACAGGCCCAGTAGTCCCTGGTGCTTGTCACACCTGTTTTTATATAAATTGTCATTGTGATTTGAGTAGAATGGAGAACCTCTGTTGAAATGAAAATGGAACATCCAGAGCCTCTGCTCAGACCTTCTTCCTCTCAAACCTATGAAATAAGCTGTTTAATTTCAGTAGATGAAGACAATTCAAGAGATTTCATGTGAGATGTTCAATGTATTTCCTCTCCCAAACAGAGGGATGTGGCAGTGGGGGAACTTCTTTCCCTCCATGAGTAGGAAGTGGAAGAAGCAAAGACATATATTGCCTCCTAGAAGAAACTGGATCTGGGACTTGCTGCTGGGACACCTCTAGTACTACCAACTGCTGCCACTATGCTACTCACTAGCAAGCGAAGTTGAGCACCTCAGAAACAGCATAGGAGGGCACCACACACATTTCTCAAACTGCTCCTCACTTCATCAGCTGATTATGATCTGATGTCTCTTTTATTAGCACAGGGGAAAGGGAGAGCTTTTCCTTTGAATTTACCAGAGAAAGAGAAGCTGTGTAAGCACTTGTAACCCACACTTACAAGTCTGGGGGATGGAATGTGGCTTTAGAGAAGCCAGGCTTTGCTTACCCTCAATAGCCAGTCCTGTGTTTCATTGTTTAGTGAAAACTAGCTAGAATAGTCTCTTGGTTATTTATAGTTAATTTTAAGTTGTGAATGACTTCAGTTTTCATAAAAGCAATTGGCTTGTGATACTGGCCTGGGCCAGGCAGAGTACAAGCATGTGTATGTTTGCTCTTCATTCTCATTTTTGTTCTCACCCGTGACACTGTGATTCCAGTCCTGATGTTGGTAGAGACTGCCAGCTGTGATTTGTACCTGAGCATATTGTGGTCCTATGATATACAAAGAGGAATCTAAGAGGCCTGACAAATTCATTTTCACTTCTAAAATCTGAACCTAAATCTGTAAAGGTGAAAGGGCAGTTCATTTAATTTACTTGGCTATGCACATTGCTTCTCTAATAAAAATCCTATTTTTACATAATATTAACTCCAAGACTGCATGTTCACCATAAAAAAAACCCCAAACCAAACACTGTAAACTATTGCTGAGTAGCGTCTTGAACTGTGACATCCAGTTGTATATGACCTAGCTCAGGACATGAGGAAATGAATAATAGGTAAAAATCTGTAAAATTATAGGGCACCTATACACATGCTATGGGGTGGGGTGAGCTTTTTAATCTGAATGGCAACCAAGAGCTGCTCTAATTAAAGTGCCAGCAGCATCTCATGTATTCAGTGTCCCACATTTCAAAATGGCAGCAGGGGCACTTTAACTAAAGTTTGTTCAGCGAGCTTTAGTTAAAGCATCCCGCCACTATTCTGAAATGCAGGTACACTGAATACATGAGACACTGCAGCACACTGGAGCATTGAGTCTGCTTCAACGTGTTCTAATCAGAATGCATCAAAGCACGTGTAAAAGTGCTCTATAGTGTTTTATAGCTGATACATTGGAACTGCTTTTCCTGTCCACTCTGAGTGGAGACTGAAAAGCTGTAACTTTAAATCTGTTTCATTCAGGTTAAAAGTACAAGGTTTAGCTCCACAGGAGCAGACAGACAAAACAGTTATATCAGTTCAGCTGATACAAGCTCCCAAGTGGTAAGTCCTTCCCATCCTTTTAAAATGGCTTATTATCATCTCTCTCCACAGCCTCATTGCATTCTTGCCTTACACTGTTAATATGCATCTCATATGCAACTCCATAATAATACTTAGCACTTTTTATTTGTAAGTGGTTCTACAGCCACCAAATGATCCTCCCAAGTCCACTGTGAAACTGAAGAAGAATCTCCTTTTCAGTGATTGTAAAACAAAGGAGCAAGTGCTCAAGTTCATAGGGAGGTCAGTGGAAAGCTGCTATTGGAAATCAGTAAGTCCAAGCCTGTGTACAGGTCATACTTTTCTATCAAAGTTGTCAGTTTTTTCAAAGTAACATCACTAGTCAAAACCATGCACCTTTTCTGTGCATACAATAAGGTACAAGGATCTGTTCCTGAATAAACCTATGATAGTCACATTTTTAAAAATACTGAATTGTGAGTGCCTATACTTAGACCTGATTTTCTAGGGGTGCTGAAATTTATAGCTCCCTTTGACTTCGAGTAGAGCACTGGGGCTCCACTCTTCTGAGAAATTACTTTGGTCTCAAATTAAACACACCAGAAGTGAGGCACTTAAAATTAGAGGCTATTTTTAAAAGTATTAGTCCAGTGCTTCTACTGTCCTCCCCAAAAATCTTTTTCTAATGGTTCTTTAACCTGTTTGGTCACCTACAAAAGTTTATCAGGTTAAGGATGGGATTTTCAAAAGTGTTAGCATTACTCTAGCCTTGTTCCCTTTTGAAGTCAATGAGTGTTGCCATTCACTTCAATGGGAGTAATGTTTAGCCAATGCCCTAACACGGGGTAGCCAACCTACAGCAAGTGTGCCACAAGTGGCACAGGCTTTGTGGGTCCTGCCATATTGGGGAGGCGGCAGGAAGCAGAGCAGCACATTGGACAGGGGAAGGAGATTGCACTGGCACTTGGGAAGGGCGCAGAGCTTTATTTGTGGCACCCCTGCCAAAAAGGATGGTTCCTGCTGCCCTAAGACATCAGCTGTAGCTGTTGTTTTATTAATGCCAGTTGGACAAGTATCTCACATGGCTTGAAAAATAAAGGTTTATTTGACATGACTCCAGGACTGGAGTTTGGAGCCAATGACATTCCAGCCTGGGTTGGGAATGGGCACGCTTAAATGAGGCAAGTACAACACAGGGCCTGGCACAGCTGCTCATCATTTAACTGTATCACTTCAATGTGACATCACAAGCACTGGATGTGCCACTATAAATTCACCTTTCCTAGGCACGCAATGGGGCTGGGATACATTTTAACTCTCCTGCAGCAAGATGAACTTCGGTAGCTTATTAGTCTAATATTGCAGAGATACCAAACTAAGACTTGATCCCAGTAGGGTGGAAAGCTGGTATGTCCCTCACAGGGCCCTGAATAATCTCAGCATGTTCTTGCTTCATGCTAGAGGCAATCTGCCAACAGGTCCCACCCTTTGCCTAATAACTAGAGATAACCTTCAGAGTGGGGGAATGCTGTTCCTAAATTAGCTGGAAGAAAGAAGCAGAAGGTGCTCCTTCCTTCCAGGACCGGCCAGCGGGAGTATTTGTGTAGCACCTTAGCTTCTGCCAGCTCAGGCTAAAAAGGAAAATGGACCCTGAGTGCCCTTCATGGCATGATGTTCACCACCTCGCTGGCTCTAGCAACACTGTGAGTAAGGCTGTGCTTGGTGTGTAGTGAATACTGTACCAAACCCTTTCCTGACATCAACAGATCACTGGCACTGAGTAATAAACCACCCACCCTGCTAACCACCCTCGGGTTTGTCCTTTTCTATTGCAGAGGAGTGATGATCTGTGCTCTGGGAGCCCAAGGGCCCTGCGCAGAGCCGCTCGCTCTGCTGTGAATTGCTGCTGGAGCCTGATCCCCTAAACACCGAGCGGGGCCGGGCGCCTGAGTGGCTGCTGCATCAAGCACAGCCACAACCCCGTGGCGGACAGAGGGCGGCAGGGAGCTCGGCTCCCCCGGGCGGGCAGGGTCGGAGCTGTCCCGCAGCTGCCGCTGGGAGCGCGGCCTGCGAGACCTGCTTCCAAGCAGAGGGACAGACGCATCCCGACCCCGAGGTGCAGCCTTCCCAGGCTCGCCCATTTCCTGAAGTAGCCTCGCAGCGCCTGCCCTACGCCTCACGCCCGCCCCTACCCCTGTCCCCGCGTCCCGCCGGCGGAGGCGCTGCAGCAAGGGCCACGTGGGCGCCCGGCAGAAGCCAGATTTGGTGCGCATGCGCGCGGCCGGCGCTGTGACACATTGAAGTGGAGTGCGCCTGCGCCACGCTGCACCTGGCAGGCTTGCGCGGGGGGCGTCTCTTCGCCCCGCCCCGCCCCGCGCCTGCGTGGTGCTGCTCTGTGGGTGGGCCTGGAGGGAGGCAGCCTAGCGCCCGCGCA